ACTTCTGCACCTGTTGACAGGTATTTGGATTTTGGCCCACTGCTCATCAGCATAGTGCTCGAATTTATCAGGAACAGTTTTGTTTGTTTGTTTGTTTTTAATTATTCTTTTCAACCACAATTCAAATGCGATGTCACGTGATGACTTTTTTCAGTTTCTAGTTATTTGAATGACTATTGTGAATTTTGCCGTTTCTTAAATGGAAAGTTATGAATACATTTGAGGACGACTGCAACACGTCAGGTAATAAATTAGAACAATTCTGTGTTTATGTAATGATTTGATTCCATATAAAGATCGTGTGCTGGTGAAAGATTGATTTCAGCTGTTTGTGACAAGTGTAAATCAGGCTTTGAGAAGAAATCCAATGCACAGAAACAGCACCAGTGAAAGACTCAGACAGTAGACCCCTCTCTATACTTGTCCTGCTGGATCTTCAAAGTGCTGCATTTGACACAGTTAATCACAACATTTTATCACAGAGACTGGAACATGTCATTGGAAGGATCTGCACCAGGCTGGTTTATCAGATAGATTCCAATTTGTTCATGTAAAAGATGATTCATCAACTCACAGCAAAGTTCCTCAGGGTTCTGTGTTAGGACCAATGTCATTTACTTTCTACATGCATCTCTTAGGCAATATTATTAGGAAACACTGCATGAACTTTCATTCTATGCAGGTGACACTCACCTGTATTTATTTATGAAACCAGATGAAACAAATCAGTCAAACTCCAGTTATGTCTTAAGGACATAAAAGCGTTGTTGATTTGTAATTATTTTTTTCTAAATTTGGACAAAACTAAAGGTGTGGTATTTGGTCCTAAACACACCAGAAATTAACTGTCTAACCAGATAGTTTTTTCTGGATGGCATTGCATGGCCTGCCACAACATTTATCTGATTACAGTACAACTCTGACAACCTACAAAATCTTTATTGTTCTCTTATGCATTGTCTGCTCCCTGTCTGCTCTCCTGTTATACCAGAGAAAACATAATTGCCTAAATTTTTGGTAATTGTCCTCCTGC